CTGGATGTGTGTGGTAATGTGCTCACATCAACTGATGATGAAGCTGCAGATTGAAATAATCGTGTTCTAGATGGTCCTAAGTCCGCTGATTTTAAAGAAAAAGTGGATAAAATTTGTGACTTCGATTTTTCATTATTATCATCCTATAGACATGTGCAGGGTAGCTGTTTCTGGAGCCCTGGCCCTATCCTGTAAAAAATGGTTGTACCCTCCCCCTACCCTACCCTGTGACACCGAAGCCCTGGCCCTACCCTGTTGTTTCAGGTGGTGTTAGAGCCCTGGCCCTACCCTTTGAAAATTTTGAAATTTTTTCATGACAATCAGTTATTTTATTTTTTCACATAAATCATACATAAAATCACCATTTTTTAAAATTTCTTAGTAGCAAAATGTCATCAACCATTTCTCCATCCAGCCATTGTCGATGCTCTTCTAAAACGCGTCCGCTGGAGCTGAATATCCTTCATATATATATAGGACTTGCATGTCCTACTTACGATATAATTCATCAAGATTTGTCAAACAAACTCCAAGCCGTACCCTGTGACTTCGGGTGACATTAGAGCCCTGGCCCTACCCTACCCTGTTGTTTCAGGTGATCTCAGAGCCCTAGCCCTACCCTACTCTGTGACTTCTAAACCCTGGCCCTACCCTACCCTGCAGGGTAGGGTAGGGTAAGGGCACCCTGCACATCTCTATCATCCTAGCCTGCAGGCTAGGATGATAATAATGAAAAATTGGTGGATCGAGTAATAAAAGTTGTTCGATGAACCTAAAATGACAAAAGAAAAACATTCTCGTTACTTTCTCTTAATTTCTGTAATGAAAAGGAATAATATTACCATCCTGTCTGGCTCGTGATGGTGTCTCGTGACATTCTATTAGAACAGGCCCTAAGTCTTGTACCGAAACATCACAAACATTATTAAATGCACACACAAGCCTGGCAGGCTTTTGATGTCTGTCGCATATGAAAGCTTTTGAACAGAACTTGTCACATTTTTTGAATGGGATTCGTCAATGACGTATCCAGAATGAAACAAATTTCGTATACAAATCATCAATGTTTGCATGAAAATAATAATCGCGATCATATTTTTCTATAATTAAAAACTATAAATAAAGTAGAAATTACCCAAGCAAAAACGACCCAATTTTTTGGGTTATTTATCTAGATTCAGCTCCACGAACACCCACATGCACGTGAAGCTGAATCTAGATGAATAACCCAAAAAATTGGGTCGTTTTTGCTTGAGTAATAAATACTGAAACATTGTTACGTATGATAACTGATACTTACTGCGATATGTTTTCGGTATTTCTATCACTTGATTTGTATCCATCGTGAAATTGAAGCGGCGTAATTCATAATATGTCCAAGCATATTGAAATATTTGTGCATGACGAGCGGAACAAGATATACATAGCCCGAAAGGAAATAAAAATAAAAATGTTTTCGTTTTCTTCTTGCATAAAGCAAAAGTCTCTCGAATTTACTTTTCGCTGATTAGTTTGCTCTTGTATCGCTGCCAAATTAAAACCTGTTCTTTCGCTGCATGGATGACTAAGTGCATCTTCTCTGCGACAATCAACACATATCTCGCCACAGGTCGCAACTCCTGAGACAGTGAAAATTTGAATACAAATACAGATGTACCAGTAGGTTTTAGTGTTTTGACCGCTGTTGGTCATGGTGCATTTGTTGCATTACCTTTGATCAGATGAAGTATTAAATCCAAAACGTCGTTTTTTCTAATTATATCTCAGTTCGTTTGAAGATAGTTTTCTATGACAAGTAAACGGCTTGTCCGACTAACGGCTCCCTATTTCCGCACATTCTCAAAAAATTATTACAATAAAGCTAAAAACTAATCTAAAATGGTAACTAAATAATTAAGTAGATTAAACATTTCTCTACAAAATGAAAAGTGTCTCGGCTCTGACTAGGGCTGTGACAGTTATCAGTTACTGTTACCGCCGTTACTCGGTAAATGTAACTGCTGAACAGTTGACGTTCTTGGTAACGGTAACGGATAAGCAGTTACCGTACAAGTAACGATAACGACCAGTTACAAGTAACGGTAACTGTTCAGTATATCTTTCAAGAGTCAAATCTCTAAATATCTAGGTATCCAGGGTGAGGGTGAGGCTACAAACTTGAACTCTTGAAAGATATACTGAACAGTTACCGTTACTTGTAACTGGTCGTTATCGTTACTTGTACGGTAACTGCTTATCCGTTACCGTTACCAAGAACGTCAACTGTTCAGCAGTTACAGTTACTGTAACGCTAATGAACTGCCACAGTCCTAGTCTAGACCCGAAGAATTTTTCTTTTTTAAGGACGAAATAGCGTTTTTTATATCCTTTTGTGAAGCTATAAATGGTGTTGGAGCGGAATTTTATATTCTTTGAAGGATTTCATTATTTATCTGGTTGGCTTCTAATTCGATAGGGCAAAAGGAAAACAACAGAGGTGTTCGGAAAACTGTTTTTCGTAAAACTTTTTAGTATGATCACACATTTCGAGAGGAGAGGAGATTACCTGTCCGTTTGACTGAAAACCTTGAATGGGGGGAGCACGTGCTCCGACATGACATTTCACACCGTTCAGGACACTACCCTTGTAGTTCTTTACAGATTTAGACCAAGAAGAACGTTTCGCATTTAAATCACCAGCAAAAATAGTTTCGGAATTTCGTTGAAGAATTTGGTCGAAGAGAAAAATTGGTAGAGGTTCAGTCGGAGGAGAATAACAAGTAACAAGTTGAAACTTTTCTGACGAACAACCAATATCTAATACAATAAGGTTTGAAACATTAAAAAAATTTGCAACATGTGAGCGTTGAATAGAACTATGAACAACTACAAGAACACCGACAACAGTGTTAGAACCTTTCTGAGAAAATGCTTGAAAGTTTCGAAAGTGTTTACAAAAACGATTCATAGAGTGAACGTCATGACGTGTCCCATTTAGAACAATAATTGCCGAAGTCATCGAAGTTAACAATTCAAAACCATCGTAAAGATAGCGCTTAAGACAATTTACGTTTAGAAGGAAAGAAAAGTCACTTTTCATGCTGAACACTACCACTGTCCTATCTTGATATTCTTGCCAAGAACTTAACACGAACTCCAACGTACCAGCTTCTGTCCACTCCCAAACAAGTTCTTGTAAAATTTTTACCTGTGTTCTTGATAAGTGATCGATTGGGATGTTATAATTTAAAGTTCGGTTTGGTTAATTAGAATAATCTGTATTCTAGTTCTAGTTTTATTTTTCGACGAAACAGGAATATTAATTAAACTTTCGACGAAACGGAAACTAACCCCATAATCGATTACTGATAGTTAATAAAGTTCAGTATCAAAAATCCTTCCGATTAACAGACTTTTGAGCTTTTAGCTGCATTTTTTAATGATATAAACACTCATAATTATTGATAGAGCATGAATAAAACATTTCTTGCAAGAAAAATGTTGTGAAACGATCTGATTTGATGCTTTGAAAGAATACGTAAAATGTATTTATTAATTAACGAAAAAATGAAAAGCTGAGGATGTTAAAGAAGTCTATCGATCAAACATCTGTATCAATATCAAATTTAAGCTGTACGAACATCTTCAACTACATTTAACTGAGTAGAGAACGATAAACAAGTTCGAAAAATATAATACATTTAGTTTTTACTTTTGCCCACCAATATAATATCCGATCACAACAGCAATAGCAGCCACTAATGCAAATGTCATAAGAAGATGATGATTAAACGCAAAACTAGATGTATTTGATGGTATTGCAGTGTCATCTTTGGGTGCATTCGACACACTACTACTGCCAATATAATGCATTGTAAACAAATCGTTTTGGATCCAAAAGAATTTGTTTATACTTAATATGCTAAGTATATCATTGGACCCCATTTTCCACGCTGATTGCGAGTATAATATTTTTATTGCGTGAAAGTTGCGTTCTCATACAGAAACTAATCATGATTATGGAATTATTTTTTCCTTTGATGCAGTAATTCATGAAAAAATGGAAAAAACGTTTCTGTATGAGAACGCAACTTTCACGCAATAAAAATATTATACTCGCAATCAGCGTGGAAAATGGGGTCCAATGATATACTTAGCATATTAAGTATAAACAAATTCTTTTAGATTCAAAGCGATTTGTGTGAAGTGGAGTGGCGAACGCGAAGGAAAACTAATCTTTAATTAATTGCTGTATATTATAACGGATTAATTCTGTGATAAATAGACGATTTTTACTACGTAAATTCTTGTGATAAAAATCACGGATTAATCGGGTGTTTTATTGCAATTAACAGGCGTTTTTCACCACATGGAACACTAAATAAATAGAAAACAAGACGATTTTTCTAGCTTTCACACGGTGTATGCTGTTCCAGTCTGAACCCACTCACATACTTAGAACTCATGCTGTTTTTAACGACAAAAACCGACAAAATCTTTCTAAAGAGAAAAATTCACTTCACTTTTCTTTTCATCTCATTCAAAAATTTCAATAGATAATTATATTTTTCTTCACATATAAGGTATTCAAGGGTAACTATTTCATGCAAAGAAGCTCTTTTTTCTTCGTTGAAGTTTCATATTTCCCCTCTAGATGAGATTCTATAAAGTTGGAAGACGCATTAACATGTTAGTAAACGATCATGTGCGGACGTTGATGAAAATTTCAGGTTACGTATAGCAAGTTCTCTTGTGATGTAAAAAATATACTAAGTATTTGGTTTTTTTGTTCTCAAATATACTGAAGGGGAAATCTTTCCAGATGATTAAGTTAGTTTGAGCTCATATTTTCCCGATCAACAGAGTCGATGATTGTGATCAGGAGAATAATCAAGTCAAACTGACTTAATCATTCGGAAGGTTTCTTCGTATATAAAATGTTATTTTATTACAGATAACTTGTAATGAAGTAGAAGAGATTTTATCAGATTTTTATTTTTTGATCATCAGTACAGTGTATAATGGAACATATTGACGACGACCAACTAGCTACAAATTTAAGATATCGTTTTGATTATGTAGCAAAATTTATCAGATGGTCTAATGACGATATAGCTGTTTTGAATTCGCTGGAGCCAATCGTCTCTCCGTTACTCCCAGTCGTTGTTGATGCCGTTTATAAAAAATTATTTCAATTTGATGTGACAAAAAGATTTTTTTTTAAAAGAAACGAAGGATTTGAAGGAAATTTGCCGTCAAGTTTAAACGATCTAACTTTAAATTCGGAACAAATTCAGTTTCGTAAAGATATGTTAAGTCGTTATTTAACACGTGTTATTACAACAAAGGTATGGGATGATTCATTCTTACAATATTTATCAAGAGTAGGAAAAATTCACACAAATAATGGTGGTTCAAAATCGATTAACGTTCCTTATATACATGTGAATGCACTATTGGGTTACGTTGAACATATTCTAATTGATGCTGTTTGGGGAGTAGAAAATGTTGATAATAAAACAAAAAAAGCAGCCATATTAAGTATAAACAAATTCTTTTGGATCCAAAACGATTTGTTTACAATGCATTATATTGGCAGTAGTAGTGTGTCGAATGCACCCAAAGATGACACTGCAATACCATCAAATACATCTAGTTTTGCGTTTAATCATCATCTTCTTATGACATTTGCATTAGTGGCTGCTATTGCTGTTGTGATCGGATATTATATTGGTGGGCAAAAGTAAAAACTAAATGTATTATATTTTTCGAACTTGTTTATCGTTCTCTACTCAGTTAAATGTAGTTGAAGATGTTCGTACAGCTTAAATTTGATATTGATACAGATGTTTGATCGATAGACTTCTTTAACATCCTCAGCTTTTCATTTTTTCGTTAATTAATAAATACATTTTACGTATTCTTTCAAATCATATGTGTTTACTTATGCCTTATTTATGCGGGAAAAAATTAGTTGTTGCATTAAAGTGTTATATATTAAAAATCCTAGAATAACAACATTGTTCTCTTTTCGGGAAATTAACATTCAAATATCTGGAGTATGACCATCGTATTCTCCGTCAAAAGTTACCTATACGTTTAGATTTTCATCAAATTCTAGTTTAAGGCCTACCCCCTACCCAAAAATCCATTTCTGCTTACGAGCATCCGATCTTAATGAGACTTTCAGAGATGGTGTATCTAGGTATGATGACCTCACAGTAAAAATTTCAGCTCGAAATATTAAACCTATCAAGAGCTAGCTCACAATTAAGGCCCAAAAATGGGTCTTCGTCCGTCCCAGATTTCTCTACCATTTTTAACGTTAGAGAGCTCGGGTTGGTTTTAAAATGTAGCTGAGATGTAGGGCTACAACTTAACAGAGGCAGATTTTTAATTTCTCTGTAGTCCATTTTTTATAGAACTTTTACGTCACGATATGCAATTCCGGGGGTGTAGGATCTCAAACATTTTCTCTTCATCTGACGTCAATTCTGAAATCGAAGAATCGGGCTCTGTTAAGTTGTAGTGTTAGACTTTAGCTATGATTGAAGACAAACCCGGGCTTTCTAGCTTTCAAAATGGCGGAGAAATTTGGGACGCACGGAAACGTAAAACCAAAACATCTCATTTTGAGAAAAACGCAAAATAACGAAAAAATGTCGTCTTTTTCGGTAGAGGTTTTCAGAAAAACCTGTGTGAAACCCTTAAAACCTATCGTAAAATTAAGAAACTATAGTGCATTCCATAGCGGACGTGATGCTCTATCAAATGCGCTATTTTAAAAAAAATCGATAAATTTCACCAAAATAACCTTTTTTTGAGTGGGAGGTGGGCCTTAACCTGGGCGACGAACATGCCTATTAGCGATAAAACATGTATGATCCATACACTCTGCTGCGAATTAAGGGCTTCCCTTCCTCAGAAATTATCTCCGACACCGTACATTCGATCTTGACGAAACTTTTCATAAATGTTCGGTACAAGGAGTTACGGGAATGAAAACATTTTTTGTCTCCAAGTCTCACGGTTTAGGAGTTTTCCATCAAGATCCAAAAAGGACCCCAAGTGTGTCCCAAGATGTTTTAATATACTTCAATCTGGAGAGTTCGGGTTTGTTTTATTTTAAACTAGACACGTATCTACATGTACAGTATCAAGCCAACTTTTAATTCCATTTACTATCATTAGAAGCAGAGCAAAGAACCGAATTTTTGTCATACTATTGTTGACGATGAGCATTTTCCGTCAAAAGCAACTATTTTAAATTCAAACGTTTTTTCTTAAAATTCTCAGTTACTATATTACCAGTGTAATTCATAGAAGGAATTGAGGAAGAAGCTACTACGTCGTCATCTTCAAGAAAACGTCATTTGGATTATTGTTCTTTGTTAGTTATATTTATAACAACGTCTTCTGAAATATTTTAATGTAGAGCATACAACTGAACTGAAACAATACTTACAATTTGAAATAGTTCTTTTCTCAACATAATTTTTTCAAAAAAAATCGAAATATTGAATTATGATAATAAAAATATTTTAGAAGCCATTGTTATAACAATAATATATTAAGTGAATAGTGAATTTTTTAATACTAGGTGGAAACAGCTTGAAAACCCAAACTTTCGTAAAACTCGCTTTTCGGTAGACTTTTAGAACTTTTTCTAAAAACAAATATTGCCACAAGACTCAGCATGACCGATTACTTATAGTCCACGCGTTTTCAAGGCTACCAATAATCACTGGATGCCAGTCCTGGCACTCGGAGGAAATCCGACACAACACCCGAGTCACGGAAAATCAAGGTCTCGATTGACTCTCATTTTGAAGAGGATACCTTGGGCTATCATAGCATGGAAGAAAATCAATACAATCCTATTGAAAACCTTTTACACACGGCCTGGTTGAACAGAAAACCTGTTTCGGAAAACACTGCCGGAAAAGTTTATGCTTGTGAAAACATGTCAGCAAATGTCTTCTTTCGCATGGCGAAGATCGAAACTCTCTAGTTACTTTTTATCAAATGTTATTCAGAAAACATCCGAGTCCATTCTGTCAACTCGTTTACTGCCTATTAATTCTATTGAATTCTTCCGAACAAAATTTCCTTTATAACTGAGATTTCTTCTAAAAGTAGGTAGGCTTATATTATAATCTTTAAGCACATTTTAATCTTTTCTGTTGTTTCATTTCTTCAGAAAGTCCTTCAAAACGCCCAAATCTTTCCACAAGTAAATTCATGTACAGCGAACGATGGTTTTGTCATTCCTATCTGTTGCAACAAATGTTACGTCAAAATCGTTCTTATTTACAATATGATTTTATATAACCTTTATTCGAAACAATGGTTAAACCAAAACATGAAATTGTTAAGATACTGATTACACAAGGGAACAACAATCAGAAATGTACATCTCGATTTTAATTGACACGTTGTTTTCTGACTGTATGTTTTTATTAGAATAAATAAGCAGATCTGGCCTTGATAAGAAATAATTATAAATTTCAGTGCACTGCTAGGAAGTACACTCTTACTGAGACATTATGAATAGTTTATGAGTTATCCCTAGTGATCGCTTTAAATATCTTGTATATAGTCAAAGTTATACTCTTCTGTCGCAAACACTTAAACAGATGTTTGACGATAAAACTATACAATCTCTCCTTATGATCAGTCATCACGGAATGCAAACTTTGAATTCATCAGTAAAATGCTCTAAAATGCAGTAGTGGTTTATCTATTTAGTAGTGTTCTATTTTATGTGCAACAAGTTCATAGAATATGAGCTGCGTTATGTGTTCATTGCCAACAAAAAAAAACGTTTTAAAGCCAACTAAAAATTGCTGGGTTAAGCGTTTTGCACCAAGTTCATAGAATTTGCGCTGCATGAAATTGCTTTTCAAACTAGATAAGGATAGATAGGGGGGGGTGTAAGCGTCAGGTGCCCTTGTACTAACAGCTCACAAAACAATCCCAGTTCAGAATCTCTACAAATCAACAATTTATTACCAACTAATTACTAATACAAATAATTTTAACAGTAATGAAAG